AAAGAAAGAAAGAAAGAAAGAAAGAAAGAAAGAAAGAAAGAAAGAAAGAAAGAAAGAAACCTGGCTCTGTCCCTTACCAGTTCTGTGAGAGGAAGCAAGTGATGTATTCTCTCATTTCACCCGACTGTGAAACGGGGCTAACAGGGCCAACCTCAGAGGGTTAGTGCCAAGATCAAATATGACGAGAATGGAAAAAGCACAGCACAGTTAGTTCTTACTAACATTAGCTGAATTGCCATTTCTATATTGTCTCAGTTGTGTAATTGAGTTTCTCTTAACTTGGGACACTGCTTCATTTTCCAAACCTATCTGTTTCAACAACCTGAGAGGCAGGTGTTCTCCCTCTCCCCAGATATATGCAGAGTTCTTCACCTCCCCAGTATTGGTTTCTCCTCCACAGTGTGGCAGTCATGTGGTTTGGATGAGATTGATCTCACTTTAGCTCAAAGGGTGGGTTGTTGACTGATACAAGCCAATCCATAGAATTCCAACCCCCTGGCAGCAGTGACTGATGCAAAGAAGGGCACATAACCCAGGCCTAAGGCAATCAGTTAATGGCACCCTAATTATGGTGATTAGTTCAGGGTAAGCACATGACCCAGGAGGGTCCTATCAAAGAGAAGATTCGATTTAATTTTTGTGGCTAAGGGGAAAAAAACCTTGCCTTACCCTGGGAAGTGTGGCGTGCAGCTGTGAGTCTTAGAACAGTCATAACTTGCTATTATGAGGCAAGCCAGCCTGAAGATGAAGCTGATACAGAGTAAAGAGCAGAGACATGGGAGTTACAGGGAAATGGAGCCAGCACCCTGATCAAACCCTACCTAAAACTCTCCCGTTACCTCTGGATTTATAGTTACGTAAGCTACTACATTCTCTTTACTGGTGAAACTGATTTTAAATAGATTTTCTGTAACTGGAAGCATTCCCACAAATGTGTCCTCTTCAATGCCCAAGTCCTTACCCACTTCCTTGCGCATCTTGTACTCATTGATATTGGTGTTCACATCCTGGAGGGCAGAGACAGCCCTCTGAAGGACAGGGTAGGCACTGGCATCAGGGTGTGTGTTCTCCAGGATTTTCTGCAGCAGCAATGGGTACCTGGTGATCCTCTGCAGAGGAATTACCAGCAAGAAACTGAGGCCTGAAGATCCAGCTTGTGGCCTGAGGGAGAAGGTTGGTGTTAGGCAGGTAAAGTCTGCCCTTTGGAGGACCAGGGGGCCTGGGGTATAGTCCTCACTCTACCATTTAGCTCATTGTATGATCGCAGGCAAGTTGCCCTCCCTTAATGGTCCTCCGATTCCTCCTCATCTGTAGCTTGTGAGTACTAAATGTTAGAACTAATCGTTCTGGGTCTTGGTTTCCCACCTGTCCTAAATCCAGTGTTCAGCTCCCTGCCCTCAGCTTGCTCGGCGTCTCCACAGCAGACATGACTGACTACACCCTTGCCCGTGAAACTTTCTTCTTTTGGCCCCAGAGACACCCTCTGTCCTGCTTCTCCTCACACTGCAGGCAGCTCTCTCAGCCCCCTCTGCTGGTGTCTCTCCAAGGCCGGAGTGTCCTGGGGTGTCCTCTCCTTCCCCTCTCTCCGCTTTCTCTTTGTGACCTCATTTGAGCCTATGGCTTTAAACACATCCCAAGCCCAGATCCCCACCTCTAATTTCTGCTCCAGAGCTCCAGACTGGCACGTTTAACTGTATGCTTGACATCTCTGCTCAGATCTGTCCCGAGCACAACTCGACTCTCTGTGTTGGGTATCCACGTGATACCTCATTTAATAGAATGGTCTGCTGCCTTTTAAAAAGTTCTTAAAATCACAGGAACTCAGTGGGGCGCCATGGCTCACACTTGTAATCCCAGAACTTTGGGAGGCCGAGATGGGCAGATCACAAGGTTAAGAGATTGAGACCATCCTGGCCAACTTGGTGAAACCCCGTCTCTACTAAAAATACAAAACTTAGCCAGGTGTGGTGGCGGGTGCCTGTAATCCCAGCTACTCAGGAGGCTGTGGCAAGAGAATCGCTTGAATCAAGGAGGCGAAGGTTGCAGTGAGCCGTGATTGCACCACTGCACTCCAGTCTGGGCAACAGAGTTGGACTCAGTCTCAAAAAAAATAAATAAATAAATAAAAAAAAAAAAAAAAAAAAAAAAAAAAAAACAATAACTTAATTTGTAGGGATGTATTTAAAGTATTTAGGGGTAAAAAGTCATAATATCTACACTTTCCTTCAAATCGTTTAGAATAAAAATAGATGAAACAAACAGCAAAATGTTAACACTTGTTAATTTTAGGTGGTGGGTATGTGAGTATCTATTACATTTTACTATTTTTCTATAGGTTTGAAATTTTTTATGAAATGAAGCTTTTAAAAAAATGATTGCTTGAGGCCAGGAGTTCAAGACCAGCCTGGGCAACATAGCATGACCTTTGTCTCAATAAAAAAAAGTAAATTAACCAGGCATGGTGGCTACTCAGGAGGCTAAGGCGGGAGGACTGCTTGAGCCTAGGAGTCCGAGGATACACCGAACTATGATCATGCCACTGTACTGCAGCCTAGGCAACAAAGCAACACCACATTCTTAAAAAAAAAAAAAATAGTGAAAACAAAACTCAGGAGGGAACGGTGCCAAGGTCCCGTCCAGATGCACCATTGATGCGTGGATGACTACTTATAGTCTCCTTCTAAGGATGTCTGGAATTTCATCAAGAGTCCCCAGGTCAATGGCACCTGGGAAGGGGCTCCACAGTCTTTTCTTGATTATGACCAGTACCCCCTAGGCACAGCTTGGAGAAACCCATGAAGGTTTCAAATCTCAGCCATCTAAATGTGCTTTCTCCTTGAAGACTCAATCAATGCTGCTCAGAACCTTTCTCTGGGCCCTCCCTGAGGATACTCTTGCCTCTGGCTCTCCTTCCTTAGAAAAGTCTCCAGACCAAATGCCCAGGAAAGACCAGCCATGAAGCTAAGAATAGGCAGAACAGGTGGGAGCCCCTCAGAAGCTACAGGGGGCGGGGTTATCCACCAGGAGATGCCTACACTGGCCATCTGCTCTCACCAAGGGTGTCATGGGGCTTGGCTGACTGTGGGCAGGGGAGGTGGAAACCATTGCCAGGTATTTGCAAAACTCAGTCCTCTGGGTTTACTTTCCATGGGAAAGAGCCAACCGTCGCCTCACAAATTAGAGAGCAAAGGGTCCTGAAAGAGATGATCGCTTGCCTTCCTCACAGTCAGGAACGGGTTACCAAAGAATAGGGGCATCCGCTCACATTTACAGCCTTCCTAAGGTAATTTGGACAATACTTTTTATGCAACTTTCAGATAGGTAACAGAAATTGAAAGACGATACACAGAGCTTCGCACATTCTGTTGGTGGGAGTATCAGCTGGCAAGATCTCGGAGAGACAGAGCAGTTTGGCAATTTGTAAAGGGTACAAACCCTTTCCTCCATCAATCCCACCTAGAAATCTACCCACAGACATCCAAACTCAAGTGAACAAACATAAAGGTACAAGTTGTTCAGCGACTCTAAGATAGTAAATGATTGGAAGCAACCCAAATACCCTTCAACAGAGGAATGGTCAAATAAACCATAGTCTAAGAGCAGTCCAGGAAAGAAATTCTGCAACCATTAAAAAAACACTATGCTGTGTGCAGTGGCTCACACCTGTAATCCTAGCACTTTGGGAAGCCAAGGTGGTAGGATCACTTGAGTCCAGGAGTTCGAGACCAACCTGGGCAACATAATGAAACTCTGTCTCTACAAAAATACAAAAAATGAGCCAGGTGTGGTGGCACATCCCTGTAGTACCAACTACTCAGGAGGCTGAGGGAGGAGGATCACCTGAGCCTGGGAGGTTGAGGCTGTAGTGAGCTGAGATCGTGCCACTGCATTCCAGCCTGGTGACAGAGTGAGACCCTGTCTCAACAAAAAAATAAAATAAAACAAAACACTGTGGAAATATTCATACTGTCCTGAAAAGATATTCATGGCTATGGTTAAGCATAAATGCAAGTTCGAGAACAGCATGTATAGACGAAGCCCCATAAAAATTCTATCTATCGGCCAGGTGCGGTGGTTCACACCTGTAATCCCAGCACTTTGGGTGGCTGAGGCAGATGGATCATGAGGTCAAGAGATTGAGACTACCCTGGCCAAAATGGTGAAACACCGTTTCTACCAAAAATACAAAAATTAGCCAGGCGTGGTGGTGCACGCCTATAGTCCCAGCTACTCGGGAGGCTGAAGCAGGAGAATCTCTTGAACCCGGGAGGTGGAGGTTGCAGTGAGCCAAGATTGCACCACTGCACTCCAGCCTGGGTGACAGAGTGAGACGTCATCGCAAATAAATAAATAAATAAATAAAAATAAAAAATAAAAAATTCTATTTGTCTATATAATAATCCTCTCCCTGTCTGTTTATCTTTCTATCTATAAATATACAGAAGAAAATTTGGATGGAAAACATTACTAGGGGAATGGACTTTTCCTTTTTACTTTATACACTTGTGTGTTGTTGGAACATTCCTTTTTTTCCAATACACATATGTTTGTTACTTTTATATTTAAAACAAACACACTTAGCTGATAAAGGAAAATAAGGAAGGTTTTTGCCTTCTCCAAACTCTGCTGCCTCAGCCATTGTTCTGGAATTGCGGTGCATTTTGCTGGATGGACCCACCTCTGCAAGGCCACCTTCTCCACCCTGACGGCTCCTCCACCATTAGGACAGTCCTACCCAGGGCACAGCTGCCCACACACTGCAAAGGCGAGATTTTTATTCCTTTGACTCTCAGATGGGAAAAGTTGCCTTAAAAGACAGAATGAAGAGCCAGGTGCAGTGACTCACACCTGTAATCCCAGCACTTTGGGAGACCGAGGTGGGCAGATCACCTGAGGTCGGGAGTTCGAGACCAGCCTGACCGACATGGAGAAACCCTGTCTCTACTAAAAATGCAAAATTAGCCAGTCGTGGTGGTGCATGACTGTAATCCCAGCTACTCAGGTGGCTGAGACAGGAGAATTGCTTGAACCTGGGAGGCAGAGGTTGCGGTGAGCCAATATCAGACCATTGAATTCCAGCCTGGGCAACAAGAGCAAAAACTCTGCCTCAAAAAAAAAAAAAAACAAAATGAATGATCATCCCACCCAAATAAAGGGTGGAGCAGCATGCATTCTGGAATCCCAAGGAATCTAATAAGCTGGTGCTATCTATCCTAGCAGACTGAGAAAGAACTAGTTATGGCTGGTGTGGTGCCTCTTATTGGCCAGGCTCTGGAAAGTAATGCCACAGGCATTTAATGGGCACGGACCAGGTACACTGGATGTCTTGCAAGGACAGTCCTGAACTACAGAGAATTGTTCCATGTCTCATATGCCCCCTGAACATTCAGAGACTGGATAAAGGCATGAAATGTGCTGCACTTCTAAGAACCTAAATATGTTCATCGCACTTGGACTCTATGGGAATTCCCATGACACTACCTTTTATAAATCCCTTTTCAACGGTGTCCCATCTCCTTCTCTCTCTTATCATAAACAAAGAAGTCAGGTTTATTTTCTAGGGTACACATATTCTCTGCTCTTTCATTCTTTCATTTTTCTGTACTTTTTGTACAGAACAGCTTCAGATATCTCTTTTCTTAAATCCAAACTTATTTATTATAAGTAGATGAAAGCATCTGATGGACTTCATTATATCTTTTAGGAGTGGTGTTCAAGCATATACACATTGACATATATAGCATTTTATTAGAAATGGTTTTCCTGGCCAGGCACAGTGGCTCATGCTTGTAATCAAGCACTTTGGGGGGCTGAGGCGGGTGGATCACCTGAGGTTAGGAGTTTGAGACCAGCCTGACCAAAATAGTGAAACCCCGTCTCTACTAAAAATACAAATATTAGCCAGGAGTGGTGGCACATGCCTATAGTTCCAGCTACTCAGGAGACTGAGGCAGGAGAATCACTTGAACCCAGGAGGCAGAGGCTACAGTGATCTGAGATTGTGCCATTACACTCCAGCCTGGGTGACAGAGCGAGACTCCATTCCCCCACGCAAAAAAAAAAAGAAAAAAAGAAAAAAAATTGCAAATCAACAGAAAGTTAAAAAAAGAAATGACTTTCCTTTTATTTCTCCTTTACAGTTAAGCTATTATATTGATTTTTTTTTCAGTTACAAATATAGGTAGGAGACAGTATATTTATTTACACATATATTTCAGGATGTCTCAGGGTAATAAATTCATGTAATATTTGATATAAGAAGGGAGCATGGCATTGATAAAATTGAGCACTACAGTGTGGTCTCAGAGAAAACAGAATCCCTGCCTAGCTGAGATAACTATAATACCTGGGATTCGTTGAGTGTCACTTGTGTGCAATGAATCAATGCCCCACGTGGGGCTGTTATTCCTCCCACAGTACACATGAGGAAACCAGGTCTTGAGACATAAAATGGCTCTCTCATGACCAGGGGCCAAGCCACAGCCACCAACACGTAGCCTGGCTCCAGGGCCCATGAGCAAAGTCCAGCTGGCCTGGCCAGGAAAGACCAAAGTGCAGAGGATGTAATAAACAGCAGCCTCTGAGCCGACTAGGACGCCCACACACAGTGTTTATTAAATGTCTGAGCTAGATGCCAGCACTGAACTCTTGGGAGATGTTACATCTAAGTTTCTGGCTTCTCTTAAAAAATCAGAGGCTCTAGCCACAGCGGACCTTCATTCTTACACGGCAGCTGAGGTAGAAGGTTTGCAAAAAAAATCACTGCAATTTATTCCTCACCTAATCTCTACAAGCCTTTGTTACTTTTAAGCTCCTGCCACCAAGACATGGAGTTTATTTCCCCATCCCTTCAGTATGAGCTGGTCTTAGGACTTAATTTGAACGATGATGTGCCAGTTCCCAGCTAAGACCTCTAGAAGCCAAGCCCTCCCCACTGTCCTTAGAACCTTGAGACTGCGACGTGAATAAACTAGATTGCAGGAAGAAGAGAGACCATGAGGCCACAGGTGAGTTAGCTCATGTGTCTTAGATAATATGAAAAAACCCAGCCAGGATCAGCAAAGCTGACCTGTGGGTGACTGGAGATATTTGAGGGTACTAAAGATTCCAGGAGAATCATTTACTGAGTACAGCTAAATTGCTAATATGCAGAAGTTTGAGCTAAATAAATGTTTGTTTTAAGCCACTACATTTTGGGGTGGCACTGGAGGTAGCAACAATTAGCTAAGGCCGTGCTGCAGCTGCACGCCACACAGGGCCTGTTGGCTCCAGTCCGTGCAGCCTCCGCTTCTCCCTTGTGTCTCATGTCTGGCACCTTGCTTCCCTTATATCTGTAAACTATAGAAACATATCTAGTGACCCTTGCAGAAGCCTGTTGGTAAGACCCATGAAGGGTTTAGTAAAGGGGGAAAATGAGTGTTGGTTTTTTGGAAGCAGAGAGGGGCTAGGACATGGGTTCTTGAAAGGAGACTTAGGGGAAAGAGGGGATTAAAGAGTGAGAAAAACCTGAGGAAGAGGAGGAGGGGAGGTAGCAGGGGACTCCACATGGGATATCTCGCCTTCACAGACCTCAGTCCACACTGCCTCTTGGATATAAAAGGGATGTCTGAGTAGATGAATTAATCATGATGATCAGAATGATGACTCCTGCTCTTCCCATACTATTCAGATTTCCAGAAAATGACCTTCATCTGTCTTCCTTTGGTGAGCTTGTCCTGGGGAAGATATAACCTTTTTTAAAACAAAAGGGCTGGGCGAGGTGGCTCACACCTGTCACGCTTGTAAGCCCAGCACTTTGGAAGACCGAGGTGGGCAGATCACGAGTTCAGGAGTTCAAGACCAGCCTGGCCAATATGGTGAAACCCTGTCTCTACTAAAATGTACAAAAATTAGGCAGGCATGGTTGCACGTGCCTGTAGTCCCAGCTATGCGGGAGGCTGAGGCAGGAGAATCCCAGAGGTTGCAGTGAGCCAAGATCATGCCACTGCACTCCAGCCTGGGCAAAAGAGTGAAACTTTGTCTCAAAGAAAAGAAGCAAAACAATTCGCAGGAAAGGATATACAAATGACTCTTAAATAAATAAAAAGATATCTTTAATCATTTATCTGATGATGATTGGATATCTTTAATAATAAGATAAATGCAAAATGAAACCATATAGAGACAACACTTTTAATCCATTGCAGGAGCAAATATTCTGAAGTCTGATAACACACTCTGTAGTGAGGCTGTGAGGAAACACACGGGCTCACATATTGTTGTGGCTTTTTTCTTAAGCCACAGTTACCGGCAATATTCCAGACAGTGACTACTGTGAGTTTGGGTCCCAGAGTGAGGATGACAAGGAGCAGAGCCACAGGCAGCCTGCAGTGGAGCCTAAGGAAGACATAAACCTTTGTTGTCTGAAACCACGGAGATGTGGGAGCTGTTTGTCTCTGCAGCACAGCCTGCCCTATCCTGACTGATACAGGCGCCGATCGAGGTATACTCCTGAAGCAGCATGAATGGCATGAAGTCAGGGTGAGACTGTAGCTGCCCCTGACCCGGGTCCGTGGGGCAGGAGCGAGTGCTCACTGGCTGTTCTACTCACACCACTGCCTTAATGATGCCCTGGATATGCTGCTGCAGCTCCGGCTCCTTCCGGTACGTCTCCACCAATAGCAAGGCCTGGTCATAGCTGGCACAGTAGATCTTATAGACTTGCTCCAACTCCTCTTGGAATTCCAGAAATAAGTTACCTGAGGGTGAACATGCAACAAGGAGTCATCAAGGGCATGTCTGTGCATCCCCTAGCTTGGAACAGGGAGGCAGTAAGTAAACCCTTCCAGCTCTCCACTGAGATTGCTGGGCTTACCAGCATGTTACCATGGGCAAATGACCTCATCTTCCTGACTTTCTGTTTTTTTTTCATCTTTCCACAAGGTTGTTCTGAGGATTGAGTGACAGAATGATATATAGCTTAGGCTGGGACAATGTGAGCACTTACTAAATGGTAGCTATAGTCATACCAGGAATATTAATAATGCTCACATTTGGACGGTGCTTTATAGTACACAAAACACACTTATGGCCCTTAGCTCATTTTATCTTTACAATTAAAGACAAAATGTGTGGCAAGCACAATGACAAATCCTCAATTGACAAAGACATGCTACAGCATAGCACAGGCGGTTAGGGTGTGGGCTCACATTCGAGGGAACTAGGGCAAGATCTCCAACGACCCTTCCTCAGTTGTGTAACCTTTCTCATCTATAGAATGCACATAAAAACAGTACTTACCTCCAAGGGTTTTTGATAATGACTAAATAAAATAATGGATGTAAAGCACCTGACATAGGCACTGATAGAGGTACACTCCTGAAGCAGCAAACATTCACCAGATATTCATCAACTGCTTATTTATTGTCTATGTACCAGGCACCCTGCTAAGCTCTGTCAACAAAAGAAAGCTCCTGTCCATAAGGTTTATATTCTGGGGTGAGGAAGACCGACAATAAATAAATATATTACATATGTCAGGAATAATAAGTGCCATGAATTAAAATGAAGCCAAATAAAGAGTTAGAGAATGGTAGGGGATCTACTTGGGGAAGATCTCTCAGAAGATGTGAATGTCTACCAGAGGCCAGAAGTAACGGCTGGGCGTGGTGGCAGGCACCTATAATCCCAGCTACTCAGGAGACTGAGGCAGGAGAATCGCTTGAATCCGGGAGGCAGAGGTTGTAGTGAGCTGAGACCACTGTACACCAGCCTGGGCAACAGAGCGAGACTCTGTCTCAAAAAATAAATTAATTGCCGGGCGTGGTGGCTCATGCCTGTAATCCAAGCACTTTGGAGGCCAAGGCGGGTGGATCACCTGAGGTCAGGAGTTCAAGACCAGCCTGACCAACATGGTGAAACCCCATCTTAAAAATAAATAAATAAATAAATAAATTACATAAAATAAAAATAAAGTAGAGGAAATAAGCAGGAAACAGAAGCCAGATCACGTAGGGTCTCAAAATAAGTTAAGTGCAGTAAGGGATTCAGGTTTTATTCTAATGTTGGCAGGAAGCAACAGGATGGCTTTGAACAATGGTGACATGACCAGATTTCTGCTTAAAAGGATCATGCTGGTGCTCAATTTCAGCATCACATACACCAAAGTTGAAAGAACATAGAGATTAGCGTGGCACCTCTGCAAAAATGACATGCAAATTTGTGAAGTGTTTCATATTTTCAAATCAGAAACTAATGACATTAGTTACCTCAGCTCACTGCAACCTCTGCCTCCTGGGTTCAAGAGATTCTCATGCCTCTGCCTCCCAAGTAGCTACGGTTACAAGTGTGTGCCACCACGCCTGGCTAACTTTTGTATTTTTAGTAGAGACGGGATTTCATCATGTTAGCCAGGGTGGTCTTGAACTCCTGACCTCAAGTGATCTGCCCGCCTCGGCCTCCCAAAGTGCAGGGATTACAGGCATGAGCCACTGTGCCTGACCTACAGGTACTTTTAAAAATCTTATTCTTTGGAATTGTTTGGAATGTTGTGCTTCAGAATTGGAAAAAAACAATCTTATTTTGGTAAAAAAAAAAAAAATATTGCCAGGCGCGGTGGCTCAAGCCTGTAATCCCAGCACTTTGGGAGGCCGAGGCGGGTGGATCACGAGGTCAAGAGATCGAGACCATCCTGGTCAACATGGTGAAACCCCGTCTCTACTAAAAATACAAAAAATTAGCTGGGCATGGTGGTGCGTGCCTGTAGTCCCAGCTACTCAGGAGGCTGAGGCAGGAGAATTGCCTGAATCCAGGAGGCGGAGGTTGTGGTGAGCCGAGATCGCGCCATTGCGCTCCAGCCTGGGTAACATGAGTGAAACGCCGTCTCAAAAAAAAAAAAAAAAAAAATCTTATTCTTTAATTTTGCATTCCTTTATCATTTACAGGGACTAGTAACTCACTCACATTGCTATTTTAATAAAGAACTATATTTTCAAAGGAATGATAAACACACAGTACACACAGGCTTTATTCTCACCTTCTACCATGCAGAAGCAATTCAGTGTAGCAACTGAGAGCCTTGGCTCTCAAGGCCAACCACCTGCATTCAGATCCTGGCTCTGCCCTAGCTGCCTGACTTTAAGGAGGTGATTGCCTCTCTCTGTGCCAAAGATTCCTCAACTGTAAAATGAGATAATGGTATCTACCTTTCAGGGTTATTTTGAGATGAAGTGAATTAATATATGTGCATAAGAACTGTGGTTAGCATTTTGTAAATACTCAGAAAGTAGGTTTTTAAGATTTGATTGTATATTTAGGCCAGGCGCAGTGGTTCACGCTTGTAATCCCAGCATTTTGGGAGGCTGAGGCAGCAGAATCACCTGAGGTCAGGAGTTCAAGACTAGCATAGCCAACATGGTGAAACTCCATCTCTACTAAGAATACAAAAATTAACCGGGCATGGTGGCAGGCACCTGTAATCCCAGCTACTCTGGAGGCAGGAAAATCGCTTGAACCCAGGAGGCAGAGGTTGCAATGAGCTGAGATAGTGCCATTGCATTCTAGCCTGGGTGACAGAGCGAGACTCCATCTCAAAAAAATATGTATATATATTTGTTTGCATATTTGTTATTTTTAATCCCCATCCTCATCATTCATGTCCAGGATAGGGTGGAAGATTGGTGGTATAAAAGCCAGGGGGACTTGGGTGGCCACAGCACGGGGTACCTTCATTTCCTCCTCCCTGCCACTGTAGTGAATCTGGTACCCACCCATTCACCTTTATCTCCTGACTCCGCTAGGAAACCCCACACCGTGAGAATCCTGGTAGCAGATGGGATGAGACAGAAGGAGACAGGTATGAGGTTTGCACCCACTCCTCCCTTATTTCTGCTCTGGTCATCCTAACCATTTCAGAATGAGGATACTATCCTCCTTGGGAGGCTGAGGCAGGAGGATCCTTGAGGCTGGAAGGTAGAGGCTGCAGTAAGCCATGATTTTTGCATTGCACTCTAGTTTGGGCAACAGATTGAGATCTCATCTCAAAAAAAAAAAAATTTGAAAGGAGACTCTCCTCATTTCTCATCTGGGCCACAGTAAAGCCCCCAGCTAGGGTCGCTGCTTCCATTCTTACCATCCCCTCATACTCCACTGTCCACAACAGCCAAAGAGACCTTTGAAAAACGTAAATCAAACCATGTCACTTCCTCACTCAAAACAGTCCAAGACTCCTTATCACAGTTAGAATAATTCCAAATTCCTTGCCATCACCTAGAAAGCTGCGCATGATCTGGTCCTTGTGTGCCTCTTCTGTCTTATCCCCTAACAGTCTCCCCTCACTAATTTCCCTGGAGTCACATTAACCTTCTGTCTGTCCTTTAAACGTTCTCAACTCATCCTTGCCTCAGGGCTTTTGCACAACTATGCTCTCTAGTCTCCCTCCAGATATTCTCAAGGCTAACTCATTCCTGACACTCAGATCTCAGCTCACATGTTCCTCCTCCAGAGGCCTTCCCTCACACCCAGAAGTTACCACAACTATTTATTTCCTTCAAATTACAAATTATTACCTACAATTCTGTTGTCTATCTTCTGTCTCTCTCACTAACTTGTCAACCCCATGAGAATAGAAGCTCAGGCTCTCTTGCTGACCCTGTGACTGCACACTGCAATTGCTCAGTAAATAACTATTGGATGAATGAATGTGAAAGAGACACAGACTAAGGATCTAGCTGCATCATTAACAATTATGTGACTGTGAGTATGTTCCTCTCTGTCTCTGGGGCTCAGTCTCTGTCTGTAAAGCAATGGGACTGGACTAGATGTTATTTGAGGGCCCTGCTGGCTCTGTTATGTTGTGTTTTGGAGATCACCAAAATGGACTGCCATTGAGCTGCATTTTCCTGGAACTCTGGAGACAGTTAAACAGGGACCACTCACTGAGAACAGTTCTAAGGCTGACAATTCTTTAGGTTTTTTTGCTTACCAACTAGCTGCACTTTTTCCTCTTTCTTGGAGGCTGTCTCCTGCAGATCATGAAGGAATCTGCTGTTCACCTTGATGATATCATCAATGTTGGAGAACAGGACATCGAGATCTCCCTGTGGCAACTGGAAGGAACAAAGAAGACATGGGTGGTCTCTGGGAGTTCCATAGAGTATATTTGCAGGCTTTCAAGAGTAGAACAGAACATTCACACCATTGCCATCACTCTGGAGAAGACTGGCAGCCCCAGTGGAATTTTGCAAGGATTTTGAAATGCTATAAATTAGGTATTTTCATTACTCTACAAGAAGAGAGGAAGAGACGGAGTACTCAGTGTGGAAGGAAAGCTGAACCAGAGTTTTAGCCTAGGTCTGCTGCCAGCTATCTTCTCTCAGTTTCCCCATCTGTCACCTGAGGGTGAGAAGTTAGACTTCTTTCCAGCTCTGACATACTTGGCACCAACCGCCATGACCTCAAGATGCATTCTCCAGCTCCTATTAACCAGGCTATATACCTGGTATATACCACTGTTTAAAAAGATGCAGGACATCTATATAAATGCACAAGCATGGAAGAATGGGCTGGACACACAAGTGGGAAAGCTAACTGCAGAACAATATCTAGAGTACGCTCTTGTTTTTGTTAAAATAAATAACAACATATACAGTCATGTACTGCATAATAACATTTTGATCAATGATGGACTGCATAAACCAGGGCGATCTCATAGGATTATAATATCGTATTTTCACTCGACCTTTTCTGTGTTTAGATACACAAATACTATTGCGTTGCAGTTCTCTTAGTATTCAGGACAGTGACAGGCTGTACAGATTTATAGCCTAGGAGCAATGGGCCATACCATCCAGCCTGGGTGTGTCATTGGCTATACCCTCTAGGTTTGTGTAAGTGCACTCTATGACCTTTGCACATGATGAAATTGCCTAACTACGCATTTCTCAAAACACATCCCTGGTGTTATGTGACATAGGACTGTATTTGTTTGTTTAATGCCTATGGAGAAAAATTCTAATTTCTGGAGGGTAAAATAATACAAGTACTCCACTTTCTACATTATCTACTTTGGTATTTCATTCATTGAAGAAAGACTAATTTTAAGTCCATTATTTATCTGTCATGACCGGGATATACTGAACTAAACAGAATCTTTGCCCTAATGGAACTCAAATGTGAGGAGATGCTTAAAATGTAGCAAGCAAGAGCCTGCATGATTTCTAAAACCAGAAAAAGAAAACGTAAAAAGTGAGCACTATAATAGAAACCCTTATAGTGATAATTTCTCCATGTCACCACCCTGCAAATAAGACAATTAGAATGCAGGTCATGGCTGGGTGTGGTGGCACATGCTTGTAATCCTAGCTAATCAGGAATTAGCTAGGAGGCTGAGATGGGAGGATTACTCGAGCCTGGAAGTTTGAGACCAGACTGGGCAATGCAGTGAGACATTGCTGCATTAAAAAAAAAAAAAAAAGTTTGCCTCCAGCTTTCCTGGGTAATTGGAGCCTCGCCCTGGCCTTTTGGGCTCCCCTGCCTGAAGGTCTGCAGGGGCTGTGGTTGGAGACCTGAAGAAAGGACAGAGCCCAGCCCTTCTGTGGCTGAGCAGACCTCTGTGTCCATGACACCTATCTTCTGGGCCTGAAGGCTGTAGACATATGTCCTCCCTGCTGGCTCTTCCAGCCTCTGCTGCTTGACACTCCTGGAACTCTTCCCTAAGGAGTCACCCCCAGAGGCCAAGCAGGGAATCCTGTTGTATCTGTACTTTGGGTTTTAGTTCAAGGCTCCATCAGGTACAGCTTTCATTTCAGGACGTGTGGAAAGCTTGAGTGAGGGCTGCCCTGGTTCGTCGTAGCTCCACCTTCCTTAGAGAGTGAGGGCTGTTGGGGACCCCCCATCCATGCCACATCAGCTCAGCACTACACATCTCAAGATGATTCCCAAGACAGCTAGTGCCTCCTGTCCTTCCTGTACCAGGCCAAGGGGCACCCCAGAGGATGCTGGATCCCTTTCCTCTTCTTGGTTGAAGGATCTCTCTCTATATGTATGTGTGTCTGTAAATATAGTTTATATATATATATACACATATATATGAGATTTTTTTTTTTAATTCTGGTAGAAAAGTTAAAAAAAAAAAAAAAGCAAGTGCTATTGATTTATTTCAGGGTGCCCAAAGAGGCTATAGTCAATTTTTGGTACCAGGAGAGGTACCAAATGCATTTCCTGACTTTTAAGCATTTCCTTGTTGGAAGCCACAGAGAGCCAGGCCAAGTTGCTGACAGTGACTTTGCAGATTGAATAAAGAGACCCTTGAAGGGGAAGCAGGAAAAGGAAGAAGGAGGAGGAGGAGGAGGAGGAGAATACAGGTCAGTTTAAGCAGTCTACTCCAAACGTGAAACAGGCTTGTTCATTAGCTCACATAGTTCTCCCAGGTGATTATTCCTCTCCCCAGTCAACCGAGGAATATACTAAGACTCTAAGCCACGGAAGGCCTTGCTGGAGGTTGCATGGCCAATGAATGAAAGCACTGGAGTTTACATCCAGGTCTGTCAGACTTCATAAACACCATGCTTCCTTTCTATCAAGCTTGCCCCAGGAATGGATGGGAAGTCTCAGAATCTGAGACCCACATTTGCCCCTATAAAGACAGGCTGTGTGTGACCTCACCCAAGTACCTGCTGGAGGCGGCTCCTGATGTCAGAGGCACAGAGATGGAGCATGTGCAAGTAGGAGACCTCAGTGTCGATGAGCTCCTGGACAGCCAGCCTCTGATGAAGCAGTGATCTGTCTTCAGAGGCCCTGTCTTCCCCATCCGGACTCCCTGACCTGGAGGATGGCTTGTCGGCTCCATGGTTGGCCATGTCAACAGGTTCTAGGAAAAGCAAAACCATTGCTACTCACTGAAGATTTGTTGGGACATGCTGTCTCTAATTCAATGACAATTACTCATCAAGAAGCCTAAAAATATCGTGAGCTGCAAACAGAGTCAAATGAACTGTTTATTAGCATTTGTAGGCAATATCTGAACAATATTGAAAGGTAGGTAACAGCTCTGATAATTCTTGACATTTTAGGTGGTGGCTCACACCTGTAATCCCAGCACTTTGAGAGGCCAAGGTGGGTGGATCACCTGAGGTCCGGAGTTCAAGACCAGCCTGGCCAACATGGTGAAATCCCGTGTCTACTAAAAATACAAAAATGGCTGGGCGCAGTGGCTCATGCCTATAATCCCAGCACTTTGGGAGGCCGAGGCGGGCGGATCATGAGGTCAAGAGATCGAGACCATCCTGGCCAACTTGGTGAAACCCCGTCTCTACTGAAAAATACAAAAATTGGCTGGGAGTGGTGGCGTGCGAGGCTGAGGCAGGAGAATTGCTTGAACCCGGGAGGCGGAGGCTGTAGTAAGCTGAGATCGCGCCACTGAACTCCAGCCTGGCGACAGAGCAAGACTCCAACACACACACACACACACACACACACACACACACACACAGAGAGAGAGAGAGAAAAAAATTAGCCAGGCATGGTAGCAGGCACCTGTGGTCCCAGCTACTTGGGTACACTGAGGCAGGAGAATCACTTGAACCTGGGAGCCAGAGGTTGCAGTGAGCCAAGATCACGCCACTGCACTCCAGCCTGGGCGACAGAGCGAGACTCTGTTTCAAAAAAAAAAGAAAAAAAAATTAAAAAAATAAATAATTCTCGACATTTTAAATTCATTTCCCAGGACTCAGACAATGTGCTTGCCTGGTTTTTCTTCTATTTCCAATTCAGCTCTTGACCTAGATTTCTTTATCTGGTGCAGCTGAATCTCTTTCACCCTCTCCCAGTGGTCCCCCTACACCCCACCCCACCAGCTACCCCATTCAGGCCTTACTACCCATCGCCTGGACTGTTTCCACAGCCTCCAGAGCCATCCTTCCTAATCCACACTCCTCTCCTGCCACCCCCACACCCGTTCTTCCTGGACACGCTTCCAGTTTAAACTCTCTGAAACAAAGCTTGTGATCATGGTATGCGCTGTAAGACTTTAGTAGCTTCCTGCTGCTCAGTGATCTGATTCCAACCTCATTTCCCCTTCACAGACTGTACCCCAGGCTCCAACTTTATTTCCCCTTCACAGGTTGTACTGCAGCAGAGAGTTGAGTGCTCTTCTCCATACCTGCATTGGCATTTCCTGCTTTTGTACCTGCTGTGTCCCTTCCTGTGTTCCTGTCCCCTAGCAGTCACTTTTTTAAGGCCGCTCTTGATCTTCCCCTCATTTCCTCACTCCCACCAGCTCCACTTTTCTTCTCTGAAACTCCTACAATCCTTTATCTCTAACTTTTAAAATATCAACAGGCCGGGAGTGGTGGCTCATGCCTGTAATATCATCATTTTGGGAGGTCAAGGTGGGTGGATCACCTGAGGTCGGGAGTTCAAGACCAGTGTGGCACATCTCTACTAAAAATACAAAAATTAGCTGGTCGTGGTGGCACACACCTGTAATCCCAGCTACTTGGGAGGCTGAGGCAGAAGAATCGCTTGAACCCAGGAGGTGGAGGTTGCAATGAGCTGAGATCATGCCACTGCACTCCATCCTGGGGGACAGAGCAAGACTCCATCTCAAAAAAGTTGTAATCATAACAAAGTGTCAAGGGCAATATCATGGACAAGATTATCTGAAAAACTTTCCTACCACAAAACACAAGAATGCTAGATCAGCTATAATAAACTCCTTTTAATTGCATGTCAGAGCTTTTAAGAGAGAAAAAGAAATCACTAGGCCCTCAAACAGGGAATTGAAAACTAGGGTGGGGTGCAGCTGAGCTGATGCAGCTGTGGCCCAAAGTAGAGGGGTGGGCAGGGAAGAGAGCATTTGAAGCTCAGTGAACCAGAGACTCGGGCATTAGTGCCCAGGCAGGAACAGGAGACAAGCTCCTTCACAGGACTGTCCCCTCCCCCAACAAGGACTTCAGTGAAATGGTGGATGGGAAAAAAAACATGCAGTCATCCGCAGAGAAGATGACGAATACAGTTCATCCTGGCTTGGGTTCTGGGTGAAGAAAAAAGATCTCCTTCATAACAACAGACCTGCCTTCACTGGGTTTAGGTTCAAATCAACGCTACACATGTGGGCCAAGTGGCCCAAAGCTGAGAAATTTACACAAAACGAAATCCTGGATTCTGAGTGGCCATAACAAAATAAAATGTTTCCAGAAAGACACGTCTTTAACCTAGACCACAGAGAACCATGTCCTGAAGATAAGTTTGTAATCAAAAATTATAAGAATGTCCCTGTGAGTACCAGCAGAAATAACAAGAGCAGGAGTAGACCCCAAGAGGATCAGATAACCAACCAGTCAGATACCGGCCAAACAGAAATGGGGAAAGAGGAAAGATACTAGGACAAAAAGTAGAGACCTGTAAAATGTTTTACAAGTATCAAATACAGCTGGGCACAGTGGCTCATGTCTGTAATCCCAGAATTTTGGGAGGCCAAGGCAAGAGGATTGCTTGAGCCCAGGAGTTCAAGACCAGCCTGGGCAACATAGTGAGACTTCATCTCTACAAAAAAATTTTTTTTGTTTTTTGAAATGGAGTTTCACTTTTGTTGCCCAGGTTGGAGTGCAATGGCACGATCTTGGCTCATCGCAACCTCCGCTTCCTGGGTTCAAGCAATTCTCCTGTCTCAGCCTCCGGAGTAGCTGGGATTACAGGCACGAGCCACCATGCCTGGCTCATTTTGTATTTTTAGTAGAGACGGGGTTTTTCCATGTTGGTCAGGCTGGTCTCGAACTCCCGACCTCAGGTGATCCACCCACCTCGGCCTCTCAAAGTGCTGGGATTACAGTCGAGAGCCACCGTGCCCGGCCAGAAAAAAAAAATTTTTTTTAATCAGTCAGGCATGGTGGCACATGCCTGTGGTCCCAGCTACTCAGGAGGCTGAAGTGGGAGGATCACTTGAGCCCAGGAGGTGGAAGTTGCAGTGAGCCAAGATTGCACCACTGCACTTGGGTGACAGAGCAAGACCCTGTCTCAAAAAAAA